ACAATGAAGGCTTGAGGCAGCTCTGTGCCATGTTTCTCGGAAGTGCAACCGCCGCTGCAGCTTCTAATCAAGGTGGTCTTCTTATAAATAGTTGGTAATGTTTAAACAATGTTGCAGTTTTTCTCGTAGTGCTCTGTTTATCCGAATCTTTAATTCCAAATCATGGAATTAACGTTTCGTTTGTCGAATTCCACCTAACTTGGTCTAGATCGATGCGCGGATCTTTGCATTTGTAGCATTTTTTAGCCTATGAACTTGAGTGTGGGATCAGATATAGGGAAGGGGAAAAATCGTGCATAGTAGTGGGAGTGAGGGGATATCAAAATAGATGTTGGACGTTGAAATGTCGTACATTTTTTCGTTATGGACTGAGGAAGTGCAGTTTACTTGGTGAGTTGATACATGCTTGATCTGCCGGTGTAGAGTTTGAAGTTGTATGTAAACAGAGTTCAGCTTACGGAAAATCTCTCAGAATGTCTCTTTTGTCTTTATACAAGAATGTTCCTCCACGTGACTGTATTTCTGGAAGTTTTCTGCACGGATGTTGAGAAATTGCGAACTTATTCTCTATTACATGAATGCGCGAAAGCACAGATATTGTCTTTCGCATCCTTCCGTAATTCAAATCATATCTTATACTCTTAGCTTAATGATACATCTTCAATTTACAATTTTAATTGTGGTAAATTTTTTTCAAAAAATCGGTCAAACCTTCTGCTCCATTTGTGGTCATTTAGACTAGTCATCTACAAAAGTGTAATAGAGGTTTGTTGTAAGCATGCTTATAGAACTACTGCTCACAAAAAGACAGGAGAGATAGAGGAATTTCTTGAATTTTTTCATGTGAAAAATTAGGATTGATCGCTCGCTTTCTGAATGTAAAACGATTTTGCTTCTACGCGGCGGCTGAGTAGTGTCTTAAAAAACTTTCACCTTTTACTAACCTTTCACTGATACGTCAAAAAAGAAGTTGGTTAAATCAAATTCGATTTTTGAGCAAAGCATGTTGGTCATTTCAACTGTGCTATAGCTATAATGAGATTAATTCGAGCGCATAGCCTTGGATGAGACATCTTTTTTGACGGATTGCGCGTCGTTTGTCAGGCAAAGATTGACGAATACAAAGAGGTTCTACAATTAATCAATGTTAGATTTAGTCGTGCACAAGCAGAAAACTTTTGCATGCTTTCGAGATTCCACACTAGCTCCAAAAATATTGCTACGAGTTTTCAACAATGTAGAAAATGTAATAATCCAGGCGTACTTCACATATTTATTCATATTCACTGATAATGACGGCTCATCATGATTCAAAGCGCAGAAAATTGTATGTCTCAGACGGGGTAATACCTCTAAGAAAATGCATAACTGTGGAAAGAAGCAGGTGTCGTCTTGGGACGAGTAGGAATTGGAGCGTGGGATGTTTTGGAGATCAACGATTTGAGTAGTTTACGCGTGTCTAGTAGTCGAAATATGGCTCAAATAGCGGTGCTCGTTTTCCAAACCTAAAATTTTGAATCTTGCTAAGTTTAAAAGATGGTACATGGGCCTTACCTGATCGGCTCACGAGGGGCCCGTTTGCCGAATCGAATTGGTTCACCGCGAAATCGCTTGAATTGCTGACGAGCTTCCATTCCTGCGTCTGATTGCGATGAAACGGCTGATGCCTAAAGAGGAGGAATTATCTGATTTTTTCAAGCCAATGACTTGTTGGAAAAATAACTCACAAGCAAGCTCAAGATTGTCAGGACGACAAAGGTCATGAAGGACTTGCTGATCATTACGATACCTAAAACTGAGCAGATTTGTCTCTTACTTAGCGATAAACAGTTCCCATAATGTGGTGATTGGTCACATAAGAGTACAAGCGATCGAGTGAGTCGAGTGCTAAGGAAAATGAGAAGCAAAGCATGAGGTGCAGGGGCAAGGCAACGGCTTCGGCCTCGTTATGAGAGCGGTGTAGCATTTCGAGGAGGCGGTTTGACATCCCTCCTTCCCGAATCATACATGACAAAAATTTATCGTTGGCCGATGAAAATGCTGGCTGCTGAGGCAAGGTGTTTGTCTGGAGGCCATTGACGACACTTCGGATGATATAAGACAATCGAATTAGCAATGAACTGGGTGCGAGCTTCATCGAAAACATGACTTGCGTACGAGCTGAAGCAGATGGGTTGGATCGAGCTGATGGCTGTGAGGTATTCTGCTGCGAAGGCGGCATCAACAGGGTGAGAGGTGTGCTTTGATGGGTAGAGGAATATTGAAGAATCAAAAATCAGAAATGGAATTGGCCTAAGGTCTGGCTATTCAAGGATATCCATAACCACAAAAAGTTTTCAAAATCTTCACATTTCAGGACCGATTAAAGCCGGGAAGGATGCTGTTAGTGGACACATTTGCAAAGAAGATCGAAACGGATGAGGATCTGAAGAGACGCATAGCGCAATCCAGACCACACAAGAAGCTCACATCCAAAAGAGTTTACCTAGATCTGCTACGAAAAGACGACGTGGTATGTCTTTCGGGGATATTCTGCTAAAGAATAGGGAACTCTAAGTTAAACTGCAGCTATCACATGGTGCTGTAACGAACGAGTATCTCATCAAATGTCACTTGGAAGCGTTAGGAATTGAGAGCTCAAGAAAGAAAGATGTGCACTTGGATTCTGACCGACGTCTGCCGTTGTACGCCTATACTCATGACACATTCAGTCTGTTACTTGTGCCGATGATCAAAGAAAAGTAAGTTTAGAGCATAAACTAGTTTCTTTATCGTTGAATCGGCATAGCTTGGAAAAGACATGGACAAGGAGTATTAGTAACAGCAACTCGTAGGTCAAAAACTAGCTTGCTAGCAATTGTGTTAGGAAAAATGATGAGCTTATTGAAGAAAGAGTTAGACGAGGCAGTAACGTCAGGCTCGAACGTCTGACGATGTTTGTTTTGTGCGATTTCGACAGAAGTCTGTGCCGGAGGCGAAGTTTTAAGCTGCAAAAAAGCCGCCTTCAACGAAGTCTGCGAATTTTTCTTAACAATAAGGTGCCTGCGGAAATTGTTTTTGCTTGAACAGAGTATAGGTGATGCTATGAGCAAAACTAGAGAATTAGAGCAATGCTATTCATACTGACTTTTGCTGAGCCTCATTTAGTAAAGCTGGTCAAATCAGGAGGAAAGATCTGTGTTTTTAGGAAAGAAGCTCTAGGATCTATGGGAAATGACGCAGCTTTGGCTTGTCTGTCCGACTTCAGTCCGCTTCTATTTTCGTATTGCCAGCAACTTTTCGCACAGGTGAGAAATGAGAGTAAATTTTGAGATATAGTGAAATGTGTGGTGAACAAAATTAGAATTTTTCCCCCGGAGAAATAGAGCAAGATGCAAGTTTTTGGAATTTCTTGCTGCAAGAGAATAGTAATTAGAGCTTGTATGAGAATATCTGCGTCACGATAAATGCTTCCTCAATTGAGAAGCAACAACCAACAAGCAGTAATGAATGTCTTCTGGCCAATATTTATTGCACCTACCACATTATTCAGAGTAGGAATGCTTAGGAACTGATACTTGCGACTAATGAAATGATCTCATGGTAGGTGAACTAGTGGTCAGAATGCGTGATTTTGCAACATCGCTAAAATCGCATTAGCCTGGGATGTGATCGCATCGCGCTGCGATTTT